TTCCCTTCAGGGAACATACATTTATTGACCAATCCATGAAAATTCTAATTGAAATAAACATTCAGGAAATGCATTAAAAATGCATTCTAGCCCGGCTGGTGTAGCTCAGTGGTTGAGCATTAACCCATGAACCAGGAGGTCACTGGTTCGATTCCCGATCAGGGCACATGCCCGCTCTGCAGGCTTGATCTCCAGTGTGGGCGTGCAGGAGGCAGCTGATCAATGATTCTCTCTCATCATTGATGTTTCTCTCTCTCCCTCTCCCCTCCTCTCTGAAATCAATAAATATATATGAAAAAATAATAAAAAAAATAAAAATGTTCTATGCCTAGCAAGCTATGGGAGCAAATTATTATATATCGACACTTCATTTTTGGAAAACTGATTCTGTCTTCTTCCTTCTTGCCCACAAATCACCTCATGCATCTGATCTGGAAGTATACTTAGCCACTTTTGATAGGCTTTATTTTCAGGGTTGGAATTACCCAATGACCATTCATTTGAATAAACCTTTCTAGTCTAGCAGAAAAATGTCATAGACTCTTATCCCTCAATTTTAAACAGTCCCCTTCTCTAGGCTGATACAGGTCCAATTTGCGCGTTTATCAGGCATCGACACGAAACCAGATTCTGAAAGCACAAAATCAGCGCCCTACCTCGGGCCTAGCCCCCGGAGGCAAGCTAAGACACAAACTTGTTCCCGGTTGAGGAATGCAAACTCAAACCTTTTACCCCTGAAAACAAAAAAATAAAAAGGGCATGGTTTTGATCATCTATTCCAATGGTTCTCAACCTGTTGGTCGCCTAAGACCAAAGGAAAACACATGTATAATTACATATTGTTTTTGTGACTCATCACTATGCTTTAATTATGTTCAATGTGTAACCATGAAAATACATCCTGCATATCAGATATTTACATTATGACTCATAACAGTAGCAACATTACAGCTATGAAGTAGCAACGAAAATAATTTTATGGTTGGGGGTCACCACACATGAGGAACTGTATGAAAGGGTCACGGCACTAGAAAGGTTGAGAACCACTGATTCTATTCCTTGGTCGTAGCTCTTCCTGCCAAAGCAGCCACCTCCTAAACGCCAACACGATGTGCAAAACACACAGAGACTAGAAAGCCGCCTCTGCCGGGCCCATCTCCCTGCTGGTCCAGCAGCGGAGTGGAAAGCAGGGCTACAGAAAGCAACCCGTGCTTGCTGCAGGCATCACTCCTGGCTGCGTGGGAAACTGCGACTACAGGGCACCTTTAAGATTTCTTTTGAAAGGCTTTATATACTCGTTAAGATCGCCTCTTACCAATCACGTAACCAACCACTCGGGGTTCCTCCGCTCTCTGCCCAATTTGCCCATCCTCCTCCTCAGTTCCACATTCTTCCCCACCGCTCCCCAAGAAGAGCCCTCCCACAATTCGGCTCCTGAGCCCCTCCCGCGCATCCGGAATGCGTTCGCCTCGGGTCCGTTGGGGGTCCACGGCCACCAAAACCCCCTCTCGGTCACAGAAGAGCTGTGAGTGGGGGGCCCACATGAGGGACTCACTGCTTTCTGATGTCAGTGGGGTCAGTAACTCTATAAAGGTGAGCTAATAAATAGATGGATGTAGCAAGCGTTCAGGCAGGCTGGCATGGTTACCTCTGTCACTTCCACACCAGGTGCCAGGTGATCAGTGTCTTTAGTAAAGATATAAAAATGAAATTTTTTTCAAGTATTAAAAAATAAGTTAATTGAAAAAAAGAGTCTGAAGTGGCTGAGTGTCTTGCTAGATTGTCAGCTTCATTTCAATGTGCAAACGCAGGAAAAACACCAAGGAGGATCACTCCTGCCCCAATTGAAGTACTGAACAGTGACTGGGGGCTTGAAATGTAGAGCCTCACCCATCTCCCAAAGTCAGTATTTTCCAGTGTTAAAATGGTTGTGAATTAAAAGCAAAATGCAGCAATACACAACCCTCAGGCCACAATCAGAGAGGCCTGGGGCATACGCGCCCGCAGGATCCTCGCCATCACCGAGCACCGTCGTCGTGGCACTAGGTATGCGTTTCACACTCGAGGATGGCAGAAGTCGGGCGAGGTCGCGGCGGACCTCCCGCTAAGGTTTGTTGCAGACTCGCTCCCCTTGGTCTGCTTGCAGAGTTCGAAAGCTGCGTAAATGCCACACACATGCTAGAGGCAGTCATGGGGGGATTTACTTATTTATAATTGCCATAGAACTATTAAGGATAGAAGAAACAGGGGATTCTTGGCTCTCTCAGAAGAAATGCGCGTTCGCCTCCTAGAATCCATGGAGAAGGAAGGGCGGGAATACGTCGGGTTGACAGTGGCCTGGAGTTGGAACAGGAATCCTAGGCCTCGGGCGTCTGCCCGTGCCGTTTGGGAATGCCTCTCGGGAAACTGTCCTTTGGTCTGGAGAAGTCACAGAAGGTCAGCCCCACCCAGAGTCGTCACCATCTACGTAGTTCTTCCTGGGAGGAGTGGCGAGGCTCTCGGGCGAGGGTGGGGGTGATTGAATTAATCTAGGAATAATATTTCTCCTTTCTCGGAACCCCTGGAGGGGTGCCATCTAACAACAGTTCCCCCTCCTGGCCACTGGGTTCCAGCATTACTGTGTGAAAAGTTGAAAGAGCCCTAGCTTTTGGCTGAGAGAGCGTCCTCCCGCAGACTTGAGGGTCCCTGGTTTGATTCTGGTCCAGGGCACATCTCCAGAAGGGGGCGTGCAGAAGGCAGCTGATCCATGATTCTTTCTCATCGATGTTTCTATCTTTCCCTCCCAC